CTAATAATACAACACACACTACTACTATATATATATATATATATATATATATATATATATATATAAACGAGTCAACCAATATGCCGGAATGATTGGCTTATCAGTTTTCCGGATTTAATATACTTCTTTCCATGTTAGATTACATAAGTGTTATATGTTGTATGTGAGGATATACTGTGCAATGTAAGCTAAAATTGTACATCCATTGTATCTATGTGTTCTAATAAAGCTGGTAATTTTTGTGATCTTAAAATTAACCTCCTGACCTCAGAACTGTACCATGACCCTCTCTAATTTGATGAAGAAGAGAGTTCCTGAGCAGAAAAAATCATTTCTAAAGATGTCTTTTGATAAGATCAGTTGGATAGACAAATATCGAGTGTCATTGGGTTATCTTTTCATATTGTTATCATCATTATTTTGTAATACGAGTTCGTTGTTATATTAATTAAATTTAATGAAATGAATTTTAATTATTCAAGTTTGGGATTCATTATGCAAATATAAGAAGCGAAGGAAATTTTTAAAAAAGAAAAACTCAACAAAAAGGAATAGAATCAAAGAGGCAGAATTAACCTTTCTAAATCTTTGTCACGATTAAAAAGAAATCGTTGACATAGGCTAATGATCAATTTCCTAATTTAATTGTCACTTGCAGATAGAGCCAAATGTCATGCTTATATCAAACAGATAGGACTTTAAGTATTTTCTTGCCTTTTATTATCATCTCACAAGAGAAAATGACTGATTATTAGATAATGTTAAGTGAAGTGATGGAAAAAATATTTCAAGTATTATGACTAACAAAATGGAAGGTAAAAGGTCATGAAATTTACGGTGATTTATGATAAGCAAAGAAGGCATATGAATTTAGCATGGATATAATGAGGGAAAAATTGTTGTTGAATATTCACTGATAAGAAATGAAATGATAAATAGAAGTGAAAAAGAAGACTGAAGAGAAGAGAACAACAAAGACATGAAATAATGATAAAATTATCAGTACATTTTTGAATGTCGATAAATTTATTGTAACCTAAGGGTCAATTTTTTTATCACAAATCTCTCTAATTGCAAAAATTGTTATCACTTTTGACAAAAAAGAATTGTATGATGAAGAAAGAAATAATTGAATAAAGAAGGAATAACATATGATGCTATCATACAATATCATATCAGCAGAAGTAACCATAGATTCTATTACCAGAGGAGAAAAAAAATTATGAACTGCGCTTGCTTCTGTAAGATTATGATCGTTCATACTGTATTTTGCTAGAAAAAGTTAGAAAACTAACTGAAGTTAAATTATGAATTACAAATAACAAACAGAAAATGATGCATATTTTATGTAGTTGAACAGATAGAATATATCAGCATGAACTGACATAATCTTATCAGTTTTGAGAAAAAGTAATCACTGATAAATACGGTAGAGTAGTACGTACATGCATATATTTTCATTTATTTGTTTATCTTATCGAATGGATAGATTTGAGTTGGGATCGCTTATTTACATATCGTGACCGCATTAACTTTTCTGCCTGAGTGTTGTAGATTGGAAGTGCTGAGGTGGGATGATTCGAGGAATTTGGGAGCTTTCGGAAGACGTGTCAGTAATACAGTTACATCGGAGTTGTTCTATACTCAACAGATTGCATTCTTCATGGATGATCTGACGGTTACTGTGATTATGGAAGAGGACGAGGAGGGAGCAAGATTTATCGAGATGGATAATGAATAGCATCTAAATGATTTATAATCTGTTGGTTAGAGTTGTTAATGGAGATGAATCATAAAAATAACTCAATAGATGGGAATACTTATGCGATTTCGAACAGCAGTTTCTGTTTCTTTTATCACATTAACCAGTTCACGAGAAATTGAGGTGATAAAGAAACTTGAGAAACTTCATTGTACTATGCTATTATATTATGCAGATTAATCGTTTACAGATTATATGGCTTGCTTAACAATCGCTGATATAATAAATCAATGGAATGCTGACAAATTTGGTATTTTGGCATGCTTTGTTGCAGTATTTATATTTGCATATTGGATAACATTAGCACGGTGGTTTGCAACAAAGGTTAGTGTTTAATTTAGGGGTTTGTCTTTGGAATTTGTATCAGTTTATGAATTATGACTGGACTGAATAAGAATCAACTAAAAGTTTCAAAAGAGTTTACAAGGAAAATCTTAAATTGTGCTTTTTTTTTAGTTGAAACCTTTGCTACCTCGAAGGACTCATCATAATGCAGTGGATTCCCAAATCGAAACTTTGGCGTTGGAGGTGAGACAGATGAAATCAGAATTGGATGCACTCTCACCAACAGCTCAGTTTGCAGCCTATTTCAAGAAGGAACGAAGTTTGAAACAGTTGTTGACTGAACTGAATGCATTAAGTAATCTTTTCCTGCATGGACAAGTTTTTTCCTTAATTCGGATTTTTCGCATAATTATTCATCCATGGTCTAGACCGTGTGGTTCAACGGGGGAGTAGATTCAAATTTTTTTCTTTAAATAGTCACCTTTTTTCTTTAAATAGATGACAACATCTTTTTACGCCTTGACGTTATGCTGTTGTCTTTTTGAGAATTAAATATGAATTCAGCTGAAGCACATGGATTTGCTACTCTAATAGATTACTTGCTCCAATTGCTCAGTTATTTATAGCTATGGAACGTGAAAAAAATTCCGGAATGACGTCCACACTGTTATTGGTTGCTAGTGGAATATTCGTACAATTGATAGCTGTTTTGCTAATGTTTTATTCTCGTAGAGTTATAATTGGACGTATTAATTCCTCGTATTTTTGGCCATTCAACTTCTTGCTCTATATACCTAATTTTTCGGCATCGACGAATGTCGATGACAATGTTGAAGGTAGGACCCATTAAAGATTGCAAGTATTTGCATAGAAGAAGGTCGCAAATGATGGCACTGATAGGTTGTTCTTAATAGGTTATCGCCAACTAAAAGTTATACTTCAATATAGAAGCATGTTGTAAAAGTTGGAGTTAATCATAGAAAAGATGTCGGCATTACATATGAATTCCAATGGAATATTTCTTTTTGGATTTCAGGGACACCCGTGACGCTTTTCGCATTTCTTTCACTTGTAATATTTGTTTGGCGCAATATCTACTCAAGAGAGAGTAGTGGCATGAAATCGCCGATATTATGATATGAACAGCTAGTTAGCTCAAATATCGTTGTTGTTGTTGTTGATCTCTTATCATCTTTAATGTATATTTGTTCATATTTTATGAGGTGTTAGTCAGATGTCAGATGATGTAAAGTGCTTTAGGTTCCTTGTTCTGTACATTGTCTGATGGCCGTTTGTTCTCAGTTTTATTACTCTTGTCTTTTAAGTTCATTCCAATGGTGACAGCTTTTATTGTCATAATGCTGTCCAATTGTTGTGTTAATTGAATTAAAATTTCGTTCAACTATAGGAGGGTGTCATTCAATGTTCATATCAGCGGTGTACCGCGTTCAGCGATTTCATCAGTCTTCGGGTTAAAAGTGATGATCTAATGATAGGCCATTACGTTATATGAATGACAAATTAGTCGAATTATTTCGAGGGGATAATTTAATATACATAGGTTGATAGTTAGTTGTACACGAAGTTTCTGTTTTGTAGTTTCTCCTTGTATTTCAGCTCTGATCCATCCTTCTTATATATCACTGGAAATTTTATAGAAACTAAGAGGGCAGAAAACGATTTTTTTTTCTTTAGGGTGAAGATTTGAAATGAAGACTGATGAATGCACAAGTGATTTACTCGTAAAGCCAATCGTTTTCTGATCGTAATATATGTAAGCCAATTCTGATCGTAATATATGTATTTTCTGGACAAAGTTGGTGGTAATCTCTGTGAAGCTGCTCACTTTTCTAGATCCCCATTACTTTTAATAGTTTCAGTAAAGCGTATTTCTTCCTGATTCAACTTGAGCCTTCCCATATATTTTGCACTTTTCGAAACTATCCGAGGATGATGACATCTAAATCGCGTGCTGCATTCGATGAGGATGTGAATACCCATGGCATTATGAATCTCGCTAAATCTTAAAATCGACCGATTCTCCTTCCATCTCACTATTACAGTAACCGGATATTTCCAAAGATAAGGCAAATGTCGCACGAAAGGTTGATAATTCTAATAGTAATTATAGCCAGTAGCGAAATGAATTGACTTTTGCTCCCTAACTGGTCCAATGTGCATTTGATCCGTTTTTCCGGCAAACTTATTGAATAAATAATCGAAAATGTTACGAGGACCGATGTACATGCGATCCATATTTCCGGCAAACTTGTTGAGTAATTATGGACAAAGCAGTTTTAATAAAACTTTCATATCAAAAAAAAAAACAAATACAACGATGAGAACTGTCTAAAAAATGCTCTTAAGAAAGACATAAAATAAATTAACTAGTACTTATGGCAATACTTTCAATCAGGTTTCCTGAATAAAATTAATCCATCATTGTCACCACTCATTAATTACATATAATACCAACCTATAAAAACCATATGGCAAAACAAACAGATAAAAAGTGATAAGCCCACTGTCAAAGATATGCGACAATCAATTTAATTCTTGATGGTTGCTTGATTCCTTCTTACTGAATCATTATACAGTAATCTGAAGCATATAATCATTTCATGGGAAAAAACACTAAATATTATCATATTATGATAGATTATGCAATACATGTACCAATAATATACCAAAGAAATAAAAATCTCGGGATATACTTCAGGATATAAAGATATACTTCAGGATATCGGGATATACTTCAGGATATCGGGATATACTTCAGGATA